TCTTATTTCTTCGGGTTTACACTGGATATGGGGTGTGTGGTTGGAGCTGTGGGTGATGCAGCGCAAGCCATCCATGGTCCCTCTGTAGGCGCAGGCGTCCTGCGGCTGGCCACAGTGATAAGCAAATCCGAAACTGAATGCCGCCAACCGTGTAATCTCAAAAGTCTAGCAACTAGACATAGAGCCAACAAAGCCATGGACATTTGCAGATAAAGAGAATTCACTGCGCCATAATCATGGCGGCATAGTAGTTGAAGGTGAGCAACACACTTCTGCTACTATGCCACAGGAAGAAAGGAACATTTAACATAAAGTAGACCAAAACATTTATTGTTTGTTTTACACGCCGATTTTGCTCTTTTTCATTTTCAATCTTTGAAGTGTGAAGTATGTGAATCAATGCAATTCTCTACACAATGATTCCGGTTGCGGGCCATGTCTTCAAGAATATTACATTGGCACTCCTCATCTTTGGGTCCCCATCCTGGAAGACCTGCGGGTCCAACAGCGGCTAGACACGACGTCAGCGATTTCATGTGCTGTCACCAAGTGGAAGGCTGATCACCACGCGGTCGCCTCCAGCCAGGTCCTTTACTAGCGAATAGAGCGCAACGCGGTAGACGCTCGGCTGCGTTGCGTAGGATGTGCCTGATGCATCACAACTGGTGCAGCAAAACCAGTTTGTTGAAGGTAATACTCGTATTCCCCAAGATTCGACGTCAAACGTCATTACTGTTAACTCGATGTTGCCACTAAACACGAGCAATCCTCCTTAAGCAACCGTTATCTAAGGCAGCAAGACGACGCACGTTTTCCACACGAATCGGCCAGGACTCGTTCCCATACAACAACACTGAACGAACAGGTGCGCTATAAACGCAGCCCTTTAACGAGAATGAGACGTCGCGACGACGCCAAAGTGTTTCAGATTGGCAAATGCTGATCGGGCTTTGGCGATGCGAAGAGCAACTTATTTGCTGATAGTGCCGTCAGCAGAAACACATCTCCCAAGGTTGACGAAACTGTCTTCTTGTTCAAGTTTTGCACTTTCGAGAGTGAACACAGGAGCAGGTATAAGCCAATCCTGGAGCAGTACTTTACACTTCGATGGAGTGAAACTCATACCATACTTAGATGCTTCAATCGCCAAACGATCCAGAATGAGTTGCATACCCTGAGGATCGTCACCAAGTAAGGCGATATCGTCAGCGCTCACCTGGTATAAGCTCTAGGCTAAAATGTTGGAAACCTTCTAGAGCACTCGACAGAACGTCTTCGATTGCGATGTGGAAGAGGAATGGGGACATAGGGCAGCCCTGTCGCACACCGCTATTGACAATGAATGGCGAGGAAAGCTTGCCATAGACCTTCACTCTGCCGGGGGTATGAAGGTGAACTGCTCGTAAGATGACGGTATATTTCTCCCGCACCTCGTTCTTTAACAAGCAACGCCATATAGCAGGTCGATCAATGGAGTCCAATGCAACGATAGTGTGCCTGTGATAAAATTAACAATGTTCGAGGATTCGGCGGAGCGTGAAGATTTGATCCACGCGGCTGGGGACGGAAACCAACTTGTTCTTCACCATAGTATGATTCACGTATTTGGGATAGTTTACGGAGCAGAATGGATACCAATCGCTTGGAGGCATCCGAAATAAGACGTCCCGCGATGACTTACACATTAAGTGCGAGCGCCTTTCTTGAATTGGATTCAATGGGACGAGCCAGGGTGGACAACAAAATTTACTGATGGACCGTGGAGGCCAGTTGAATTGCGAGTGAAAGTGCTCGGTCCAGCGGTTCATACGCCTCTGTTGGTTGGTGATCGGAGGTTCATCCACCTCGCAAATAACTTCACTGACGCCAGGCTTCATGAAACCAGTGGACCGAATGGGTTGGAAAAGTCTGCGAGTGCTGCCAGAGAGGGCAGCGGTCTGCATCTCTAAAGCACGCTCAGCCCACCATACCTCGCGATCCTTGCGTAGGCTTTGCTTGAGCAGCCGGTTGGCAGAACGGCGCCGCTCATTGTAATCTGATTCCGCCGGGATATCTTTGCGGTGTTCGAACAACTCCAGAGAACGAGCAGAGATCCAAGCCTTTACGCGGCGTCGAGCTACGCCGCAATTCGACTATCCGGAAATAGTCATCACTTTCCGCACACAAAGCCAGTGTTGCTCTGTCTTGCGGTGGATTACAACTGAGTGCATATGCCAGTGAAGACTGATAGATCGCCTGGATAGAAGAACCAGTTAATCTGTTTACATCAGTCTTGCGGTGTTTCGTGTTCCGGGACCCCCCAAAATACATGCAGCTTTTCGCGCAGACCAGTGCATGATCTGAGTCAACGAACATGGACCAAAAGGACCTGCAGTCCAGTACGCTGCCAGGCCATATGAAGCTAATTGCACTGTGATCAATTTGAGACCACGGTTGTGTTGGCGAAGGGGGGGGGCGCCACGTTGCGGAATGCTTCGTACGCTTGAAGTTAGTGCTCGAAAGAATCAGACGGTTGTCTTCGCACAATGTGAGAAGTCTCTCTCCGTTATCAGATCGGTTCTTATCGAGCTCGTGATGACCACCAAGGTGGCGTTCGTATGGATTGTTAAGTCTGGAAAGCCACACGGGCCTTGCTGATACACGAAGTAGCCTCTTCAGTGATGTGACCACCAGAGTTGACACAGCTACCAAGGTAATTGAACCGATTCACCATCTCCAGTGGCTGTTCGGAGAAAGCTAAAACCGGTGTATATGTCCAGTCTTGCAACAGCACTTTGCAGATACAAAGCACCTGCCGAGGCGTGCAACACAACTCACAAGTCTGTGTAGTAGTAATTGCATAGCCAATGCGTCAGAATCTAGGAAAAATATGCCGTCCACACACTTCAGCTTTATCAGTCTGTCGCCTGGAAGAACTCCGGAATGGTCTGAAGGAACCGACTCATTCATGTTCATTTCGATCACAAAGCGGAAGAGGAAAGATCTAGGACAACCCTGGTAAACCCCACTTGTCGTGGGGAACTCAGTAGATTGTTTCCCTTAGACCCTTACACGGCCTCGAAATCACGGTAGAGGGACTTCAGAATGCAAAAGATTTTAGTTGGCACGCCCTTCATGGATGGGCCGTGCCAGAAGCTGTCTCGATCAACATAGTCGAAGTCGGTTTTCAAGTCAAGAAAAGCCACGATAGTTTGAATGTGTCTCTGCACTAAAACTTGGTGAAGAGTAAAATATGTGGTCGGTGTAGCCACGGCCAGCGCGAAAGCCTGTTCCGCTTTCAGTGATTCGGTCATCACGGGGACCAGTAAGTTGTCGGAGGATGATACCCATGAGTAGTTTTAAGGCAATGGAAATAACGCTAATGCCCCGATGATTTTCGCACGAAGGGCGCTGACCTTTCTTGAAGATGGACACGACCGTTGATAGTCGCCTGTCTGAAGGCACTTCTTCAGTGTCCCAACTCGGGTTGACAAGAAAAGCAAATCCACTCAACAAATAATCGCTACCATCTTTCGGCAAAGATGAGGCAAAGTCGTTGAGTCCAGGTGTCTTGTTTCGTTTCAACACGTAAAACTCATTTCGAATATCTTTCAAAGTGGAGGTGTGATACCAATTTCTCACGTCGCCTCAGGTGATCCGGCAAGCGACAGCGTCGCAGCAGGCCCGCCGTACTGCTCCTCAAAATGTTCCGCCCAACGGGCTATTCGACGACGCTGAGAATGGACCAACAGTCCATTTTTCTCAGCTATTGTCTCGCTAACCGGATCCGTGTTCTAGCTTAACTGGAATGGCGCTCGTCTGTTTTCAACAACATTGGCTTTCTCCATCTCACAGTGTTCTTTCGAAATATGTGAACATTTTACATGCCGAGTATTAAAACACCACAGATCTAGAGTGAATTGTTTAAGTCTTTCGGACAACAACTGGTGTTTTCCAGGGTTGTCCCATCTCACTATTTTATTTACTTGTGTCATGCAGTCCATCATGAAGTGTTCCATTGCGGAACCTCACGATGTAGCCATTGGACTTCGTTGTGGTGGAAAAATAATTGATCTGGATTATACGGACGAGACTGTCTCGCTAATTGACGACATTCGCAGTCCTGGATAATTTCACTAGCCTGGTCCTACCATTTGGTATGCACTTTGCACCTACAAAATACAGTTTTGTCGTAAGACCAGCAGCTCCTTGATAGCAAAGAACGAAAGGTAGTTGGACAATTCACGTATCTTGGCAAATGCCGCAACATCGATAGACGCGTAACCGCCGAGGATAGTTCACGCCCTGCTAAAGCTAAGACTGCCTTGTTGAGCCTACAGCATCTGTAGTGTCATAAGTGGATTATCCGCGGTCTGAAACTCCTTAGTCAATCCCAATCTTTGGAATCGTAATTTACCCCCTTCTGTTTGGTTATCTGAGGTGCATCCTAGTTTTCGGTCATCATCGCTTACAGAACAGTGTGAGCGTCGGATGGCACTAGTGTTTCCGTAACGATTATCTGATTAAGCGAGTACTAGGCTGAGATAATCAGGCTAGTTTCTCGGTGTCTGCGTAAGCGGTTCGGAGAACACATTCCGAAGTGGGTCGATGACGCTACTGGAGGTCAAACACGAGGATGAGCGTTAAGCTTCAAAATACCTACTTCATCGCTCGCCAAACAGTCATTAAGCACTGGTCACTAATTTGATGCGGGCTTGGCGTTTACGATTATCTACCGCAATATAAACGCCAAAATACTCAAGCTCGCTGAGGCCGTAGCTATTAATCACAACCGCCTTGACCCATCTGTGTAAAAACAGCTGACTATCACACTGAAGCTTCCTCGGGGATCGGAACTTGTTTCACTACTTGTGATTCTGTGACGATATGTGCCTATTCCTTCAAAATTCAAACTTTTGACTCCTTTCCATCAGTGATCGTTTGAAACGTTGCTCGTTTGCGTGTGATCAAAAAGCACGAAATGATATCTTACAGCATCCGCCTTCTCGTTACATTGTTTAGAATGATGCAGAGAACGCACTGCTTCAACGAGCATTGAATATGTTGCGTTGGCCTGGGTATGTGTTGCATATACTCGGTTAACACCTTCCCAGGAGAGCCATGTTTTGTCTTCCGGATGGTGTATGGCGCAAGTCTAGATGTGGACAAAGTTGATTTGGTGACGGGAAATGCAATCACTGACGACCAAACTTTGTAATGTTAGTCTGTCTCACCTTCCAGGTTAGAATCCAAGCGATCCGCTTTACAGGATCGCTTGTAACCGAAACTATTGGCACGTTTGCTGTTGTCTATTCGGATTATCTGTTTACATTGCGTGCGTTACTGAGTTATCTGAGGTGTAATGGTATGGTAGTGAGAACCTCAGTGGAGCTGTCTCACCGATGCCGCTCTACTTTCGCAAGATAGCCATATATTTGTCTGTGTATTGTTTACAAAGTGTAGGCGCTTTGACCCTGAATGTTTGGATATAACATTAAGTCCTCCTTATCACATCAGCAATGCATCAGTTCAAATGTCTGACGTGCTGTTATTGACGATTCTGATGATGAGTTAGGTACTTTCCAAAATATCGCACACCCTACTCCATTTGCCCTAGCTAGCACTGTCTCACAAGAAGCACCAGTATTGCGTCGTCTTTTAACTAGGGTCCGAACGGACAAGGCTTCTGGCTTGAGTCACCCCGTTTCAATCTGCTCAGGTGCTGGAAGACTCGCACCATCCGTATGTTGCATGCAACTGGTGGTGGTCGTTTAGCAGCAAAGCGTCGGTGCTTTGTACTGACGTACTGCTGATGCACCCCCATCGTTTTTTGATTAGACTACTTGTGCCTGTGCTGCCGAACATCGTTGATTTTGATTATTGAGAGCTTCAAAAAACCTATCTCACCGATGCTATCATGCTTTCACATCATAGCCTACTCCTTGTGATCGTGTGGTGTTATTAAGATGTAGCATTCTGCTCCTTAATGTTCACTTGGTCGGCCGATGGCCGAAAAGCTTGTACGCCTGGCTTTCTATATTTAGGTCACCGGTTCGAGTCCGCTTAGGGGCGGGTGCCTTCACAGTATACTCAGCCCACGCGCGGCAGGTACTGTGTACCGGCGTACTGCTGACGACTTTCTTTTTATCACTGGAGTATTTTTGCCTCGTTTCTCCCCTGTTGTGGTTCCTCATTTGTGAAGCCATCATGATTGCATATAAGTGACGCACCATTACATAGCACTGAGGTATCGCTGTTGTTGATGATGCTCATGACTTAGCAGTTGGAAGTCGTTCTACTCCCTTTCGTGGTAGCCATTCTGTCAGTGATGTGTGAACAGTGACTGGCTGTCGTAAGCGTGGAGGTATGCTGAGAATTTGGTATTGTGAATGTGGGAAAATGTGCGCAAGTTTGATAACACACCCCAGCGTCAGGCAGACACATAGGATGCCAGTTTTACCCAACGCTCCTGTGTATTATCTGCAAATCATTTAATCGTCCTTACAACTGGTGCGACAGATCCTCCGGTGCGTCACTGCAGTTGCACTCAGTTCCTCAGCGAGCCATCTGCTTCGGCATGTGATGTCCTCCATTGTTTCTCTCAGTTGAGTAAACTTCCGAGGTAGCTAGTCGCCGACATGATAAAGAAGAGCAAAGAGACTCAACGAAGGACTTAGTCGGATTGATGCTTGTCTCTCCTCCTCCTCCCCTACCCCCTCGGATAAGGTCATTGGAACTGGTCACATTACTGGTTGGACACCTTATGGGATATGGCACGTTCACAGGTTCAGTGGCGCACTTGCACTTGTTCCCTCACTTCAATTTCTTGACCATTCCACATTGATCAAAATATCTAGACTAAAGTGACTTGAATCAATATCAAAGGGGCTTAACGACCCGACGATTTAACCAAACCGAACGCCGCGTAAATGTAGCTGCTATTTAAAAGTGGCTAAGGTACATTCATACTATCCACCTACTTAGACAATCGAAGATGAACTACTTAGCCTACAAATTATATCTTGAAGTTACTTCTCACCAATACCGCATAGTCTCTTCATCTCATGATATATTAAAATATTTGAGATTATTTTACCTTCAAAGCTGTTTGCATGGCACCAGTGGAGGTCTCTTTTCTAAAACAGGTAAACGCGTTAAACGTATATACTGTATATTCTGCTCCTTCCAAACTTTTATCTAAAGTGTATCGAGCTACAACCCCCAGTTGTCTAACTCTAACCGATTTTTTATTACTTCCTTTCGTGAGTTGATCATTCCATATGACATTAGGTGTCTATGACACGACAACTGCATTTCACAGTGCATCCATCTCCCAATGATAGATTGCTCCGATACCATTTAAACCTTTTCTCCGTTTTCATTCCAGGTACTAATCAGTCTTCATTCACCTCGTATCTACGGACAATTATCTCGAAGTCTATAGCCGCCACTCTAGGAGATCATGCTAAACAGGCCGGTGCTTCCGGCTTGAGTGGCTCATGCTCTCCGGTCCGTCAACGCCACGCCAGTGCATACGTCCAATTTCCAATCCCTTATTTTTCTCATCAGCCTCGACAAACAATTCCTCTTCCCACAGGTCCATACACTATGAGCATCCGTTCGTCTCCTTTTCGATAGCCGCAAAATGGATGTGTCAAAATCAATGCGGCCACGGTGGCTTGCCTTTGGACTTAATGGCATATAATCATCTCGCTTCCAATTTATCCCCAACTACCATGATGGGGACTATGAATACCACTTGGTCTCCGCTTCGCCCTTTACTAGAATTGTCTGGGGGCCTCCGTTTAGTCGAAGAACCACCATCCATTATCCCCGCTCTCCCAACTGTGAAGCTTGAGGATGGGCGCTGTCCATTACCTGAGTTCACACAAGAAGGACTAAAACGGTACCAGTGTGATCACTGCACAAAGGGATTTAACCGTTCGAGCGATCTTGTCAAACATCGGCGTACGCACACCGGTGAGAAACCATTCGTGTGCCAGCATTGTGGGCGCGCTTTCTCCGACTCTAGTAGTCTTTCGGCTCACAAGCGTATCCACACTGGTGAACGACCTTACACCTGTCCAAATTGCGGTAAAAGTTTTTCCGTCTCTAGCAGTTTGATTAAACACAAACGTATACATACCGGTGAAAAACCTTACCGATGTGCCGTCTGTGGTCGTACGTTTTCCGACAATAGTAGCTACGGAGCACATCGGAAACGAAGTCAACGATGCATGCCGGACAGTATCTCCGTCGCCACACAGAGTAGTTTCGATGATGCTATTCACGTGACTTCTGGTGTCTCCTTTTCCTCGACATCCTGTTTGCCCTGACATCCTGTTATAAGCATCTCTTTACCCTCAGCATCATAAGTTTGCCGGCTGCTCCGGGATTTTCACTGGCCGTCATTTCCAATCTCACAGTCATCTAATTTGTACAAATACCTCAAACTACTTACTGTTCTCTTGACTTCACTTTCATTTCACGCAGCAATTTTTTAGAACTAAATCGATGACATTTATCCACGTTTCCTTACTTTGTGTCGGTCGTCTATCATAATTTTCTCGCATTTGTATATTTTGTACAAAGCTTATCTCTCAACTGGTGTATTTTATTTCATGTTGCGTTTCTCTCCTAACGATGTCACTTGAAAATCTCGACAAACCGATAAGCTATACCGAACCTGCTCTTTATCACGACTGCGACTCATCAAGTCCTACTGATTAGTGCGATAGACTGGAAACTCACTTGGTATTAAAACATGCTTGGTAAAAAGCCGACAGCACAGTCTCATGTTTTCCGAACCAAACATAATTTAGACTGGAACTCGGTCATTGGAGTGCATAGAATTAGACGAACCCATCGCTTTTTACTTACAGGTTCCCGAAGTTAGTTTGTAGCGAACACCGGGACAGTTGGTTACTGCTAACTAGTCCCGTCCAACTTTAAACGGTATTCATTTAGCCTGCAATAAATAAAGTTAACCTGTCCCTACACTCCATGTTCAGCATAACACGTTGAAAGATCTATAACTTTATATATTCAACACTTGCTCAATAACTAATTGGCAGCGTATCACAACACATAGTTGACACAAAAGATGGAAACGAGGGGAAAAGTTATGTAGATTTATATGTTGTGTAGGCAGAGAGCTTCCCGGTTGCACAGGCTGAGGAAGCGGGTCTACTTAGAAGACCCCACCCGGAGACTTTAGTCCTAAAGATTTGACGCGCAAGGCAGCGGAGCTATTAACATGTCACAAATTTTCGGGAGCCGATAACACGACTTTCTAATAGTGACAAACTACTCAGGACCCCCGAACAGCCCCAGTATAGCAGCACAGACGTCAGGAAACTTTCTGAAATGTCCACCAGTCGCTGACTACGAAGACCGTTCCCGGCCAGGTGGCTTATTCGCCTTCTTAGTGTTTGATCGCAGTCCACACAGAAGCCAATGGTCAGTGAGATTGTTCATCTGCCCTCCGTTAGGTAGTCACCTCTGGTTATAGAATTGAGTGCTTATTGACCCTGTATCCAGTCACATTGGCTGTGACACAGCGCTGTACAGGCTCTTGTGGTATTTAATAGAGGACCAGGTCATCGGCCCAGAACACCCCTCGATCTGAGACGCTGCCGCTGATTGTTCATGACTGTTTATTCGTCTCACCTGCAAAGCAAACGAGGTTTATTCCCATTTACCTCCACAAGGAAGACATTCTCCAATCGACAACCTGGGGACGCGTCCGATAGGTTACAGCTCCGCCACGGTACATTAGGAGAACAGTGACGCTTGAATATCACGGCTAATCAATGTGTTACTGTCACCATCAACTTGATTGATTTACTTATGAGTTAATGCGTATATTCCCGGGCCAAGGTAGGACAGTTCTCCTGCAACCATGACTTTTTCTTCAAACATAAACTTCATCCTGCATCGGCCGTCGCGCAGATTATCAAGGGTCGCCTTATCTGCTGTATACAGCAGGGCGGATAGGCGAAAACATGCTGCTGCTGGCGCCTCCCTTCTTTCTTTTCCACCTTTTTCTCTTAATCCCATCCCGACCCCCATTACTAACCTTCCTTCTATAATTCCCAGTTTAATTTACAGCAACCGAAGTGCCACTGGAGTAGGACTATCTGCAGCCACCATCCCACTGCACCTATCGGACGCTTATCGGCAAAAGTCCCGTATAAGGCCACGCTATCCCTTTTCCATGACGACATTCAGCGTTCGCACTCTAAGACAAACAGGTCAACACGCTGCACTCGCACGCACCTTGGACACACTGGGTATTGATGTGTGTTGTGTGTCCGAAACAAGAATCAATGACCCTAACGGGGTTATTGAATTAACTGCACCCGGCTTATCCTCTCGTTATTGGTTGCACGCATCCGGAGATGCCGATGCAGCACTCACAGGTCAAGCTGGTGTAGGTATCATTCTCAGCTCCAAGGCTGAGCCATTGTTGATTGATTGGATTTCGGTGAAAAGCCCTTTGTGTGCAGCGCGTTTGACGACATCAGCTAAGGTTGATTCAAGAAGTAGTACAAAATGCTGTTTGTTTGTGATTTCCGCTTATGCTCCCAACGACTGCAGTTCAGATGTCAAGGACACATTCTATAACGAACTGAACGCGCTACTACGCAGTGCTACTAGTTCAGATATTATGGTACTGGCAGGGGATATGAACGCACAAGTAGGGCGTCTGAGCTCTTCAGAAGCTCAGCTGGGTGGTAATTGTGGACTTAACTCCGAAGGGTCTGACAACGGTGAACGTCTGCTACAAGTGTGTGCGGAGCACCAGTTGTTTCTTAGTAGCACTGCTTTTAGACATAGTGGGCGCCGAAGTGCCACATGGCGTCCTCCTGTAGCTGACCAGCGATGGACCCAAATTGGTCACATAGCCATAAGTTACAGATGGTGTGGTTCCATCCTGGATTGCCGCTCGTACTGGAGTACTTGTGTCGACTCTGATCATACTTTGGTACGCTGTCGTTTCTCCATGAATTTTACCGGGCGGCGCAGCACGTGTCCCCTACGATTGGCAACGGAGAAATTGTCTCAGTTCTCGGTCAGGCAAGCCTATCAAGAAGCACTGTATATCGAACTTCCGCTGTCTTGTCCTAATGACACTGAGCTTCAGTGGAATAGGAGCTCGACCGTCATGCACGACGCAGGAACATCTGCTTGTGGCACTATCCATCGTCACCGCACCAGTCACTGGATATCAGGGAGGTCGGTGAATCTGTGGGAATCTAGAAGACACCTCCCGGTTGACTTTGAACACAATGTGACCAGACGGGCTATTAGGCGTGAACTAAAGCGTGCTGACAAGGAAACCTGGTGGACCAGTCGGGCTCAAGAAATGGAAGAGGCAGGAGCAGTAGGCAATTGCCGCAAGCTCTTCCAGCTAATCCGCACCACTGGTCCCAGGAAACCAGGCGTCAGTGAGACAATCAGAGGCAGCGCGGGTGGCCTGAAACACAATAAGGAGCGCTGTATGGCTCGTTGGGTGGAACACATTCAAGATCAGTTCGGCTGGCCCCCTGTGCCTAAACTACTCCAATCACCATGTGCGTTGTTCGCAGATGACTTAAAGGTGTGGAGAGTAATCCGCACACTCAATGCTTGTGATTTATTTCAGCATGATCTCGACAGCCTCTCAACATGGTCTGCAGAGGTTTACCTTCCGATCAACCCTACTAAGTCGCAATTCATGAGGTTGGGTAAATGCGAGCACAGCCGCACGTACACAGTGGCTGGTCAACCGCTGCATCCCGCGTCTTTCGTGCGCGACCTCGGTGTGCTCTCACGCTGCGACCTAAAGTCCATTGACAACACGAATAGGCTGTACCAAAACAGCCTTCGGATGCTTTGGGCCCTCAGGCACAGCTTCAGCAATTGGTCCGAAGAGATTGCCACTCGCCTCTTCGTCTCGATAATACGACCAATGCTAGAGTACGGCACTCCCGCATATTGTCCCATCACGCTAGGCGAGGTAAAGAAGCTTGAGCGGGTGCAGCATATAGCCACCAGGCTGATTCCCAACTTACGAGGTATGCCATATGAAGACCGATGTAAGAAACTAGGGCTGTACACCTTAGCATATCGTCGGCTGAGGGTTGACCTAATCATGACGCACCGGATATCACATCTGAGTGATTACCCCATGTTGAGACAACTGCTTCATCTGCGCACACCAAGCAGCACGCGAGGACACCGGTACAAACTTATCGTACCGCAGTTGAAGCGGGTCACTCACCAACTCTGTTTCGAACGTAGAGTGGTGAATACCTGGAACAAACTGCCGCAGCCGGTAATAGAGGCGAATTCAGTGGCTGAATTTAACAAGCTTCTAGACAAACACTTCGCAGAGACAAAATATAAAGAGCGAAACGATAATTAATACGTTAATGCCCAAGATCGACAATTGATGCAGCTACACAGAGTATGCTCTACTCGCTGCTTCTAATCAGTATCAGGTGATGCAGGACGAGCCATGGACGGTTAGTTTAGAGCCACCGTCGGAGGCCTAGTTCCGAAACGCGATCACAGCCCTTAATCGTTTTCGTGCCGCTGACCCGAATTCCCTCCCACCTGCACTATTTAAGGATGGAGGTGAGGTCCTCTCCAAAGCACTGACCTCCCTATTCGAACGTCTCTGGAAGGAAGTGTCCCGGCTAATTGGAGCGAATCGATTATAGTGGCAATATACAAGAAGTGCAGTCGCACAGACTGTGCGAACCACAGGGGTATTGGCCTAACGCCAGTTGTGACAAAATTATTGGCCTCGACTCTCGCTCGTCGCCTCACTGCGGAACGGGAATCTCGGATTAGGGAAGAGCAGGCCGGTTTCCGCCCAGGGCGTGTCTGTACAGACCATATATTCACTTTGCGGCAGGTGCTAGAGCAGCGCCACGCAGATCGACAATAGCTGTGTTCCTCGATTTCAAGAATGCATTCGATTCAGTCGATCGATCGATTCTGTTCGCAATACTTACGCGGAAAGGTGTTCCCACGAAATATCTGAACATCCTTCGTGCTCTATACTCGAACACTACAGACCGCGTCAGGGTCTATGGTGGCCTACCGGATAGCTTTCCAACCACAAGTGGCGTTCGTCAGGGTTGTCCGATTTCCCCATTTTTGTTCAATTTCGTCGTGGATTCTATTATGGAGTGTTTCCTTGCGGAATCTCACGATGTAGGCGTTGAAGTGCTGCCTGGTGAAAGGTTAGTTGATCTAGATTATGCGGACGATATCGTCTTGCTTTTCGACGATGTTGGGGCGGCCCAATCGACCCTGAATAGCCTGTCCAGATTGGTCCCATTATTTGGTATGCACTTCGCACCTTCAAAATCCAAAGTGTTGCTGCAGGACAACCAGCCACTTGATGACTTTTGACGCTTGCTAACGAGGAACTCGAGGTAGTTGATTATTTCACTTATTTTGGCAGCTGCATCAGCAATGATGGGCGCATAGAAACTGACGTCAGCTCACACATAGCAAAAGCCAGAGCTACCTTCTTGAACCTGCGGCATCTTTGGCGACAGAAGGGAGTTTCTCTCCGTCTGGAAGGCCGTGTATACAAGGCCACAGTGAGAGCCGTTCTGTTGTATGGTATCGAAACTTGGCCCCATCAGTGTGATGATCTGAGGCGCCTTCAAGTCTTCGATCATCGTT